CAAGTCTTCTTTGGTTGAACACATTGGTCCAGAGTGTGGCTCTGTCCTGGTCCACCTCCGATGACTCCGTGTCAACTGGATCTGCAGCAAACACTGACGGACATAGCGTGTTCCCTAGCATTAGCTTAGCTTTATTTATTTATTTATTTATTTATTTATTTATTTATTTATTTATTTATAGCCAACTCTACTCACCGTTTAAGTTCAGGTCATGAAGCCTGTCCTGCATCTCCGTGTGATCCTTTCTCTTTGTCACCTTGCGCTTGTCAGAATCGCTCATTTTGAACGCGGTTTTCTATTTTTCTGCTGATGTGTGCAGCGTGCGGCACCAACAGCGTTACGCCGTAACCATGGAGACGGTAAACGTCCGGAGGAAGTTTGTCTCGAGCGTCAGTTTTTAACGTTTAAGCGCGCGACACATTTATTGTGGAAAGCTGTTGTAACATATAATAAACCATCTTCCAATTTTTAATTACACTTCAGTAGTTTCCTTCTGGTCAAATATGAAGTCAAAACCTGTTAAATGTATTAAAAATGTCAAATTTTACATTTTTGATAGTAAAAACACAATCTGTTTATTTTGTCTTTTTTTTTAAGGCATGTAGAAGAAATCAAGTTCAGTTCAAGTGACTTTATTGTCATTCACATCACATGTGGTACGTGAGGTGGAACAAAATTGTGTACTCGGGGTCCCAGTTACACCCCAAAATAGCAAAAATATAAAGTATAAAAAGAAATAGTATATAAGGATCTACTAAAATATATGCTAAACCAGTGGTTCCCAAACTTTGTTCAGATGTGTACCCCTTCAGACATCTGACCTCTAGCCAATACCCTTTAAAATGTGTTCGTAAACACTGCACATAAAAAAAAAATCTTAATATTTAACAACCGTTATTTTTTTCGCACAAAATTATATTTATTAATAAATGTCAGCATTAATAAGCAACATGTTTATAGACTGAATTATCTAAACATATAGCCTGTGTATATGTCGCAAAACATTTATATGATAACAGTTATTGAACAAACTGTAATTAAACTCACCACAGTTTTAATGAAGAGAGTGTGCTTGGAAGGATGCACACAGCTCTGTTATGTTTGAGACATTATGTGTTTTAAATCATTCTCAACAAAGTCTTGCTCTGTATTTTATTTCCATATTTGTCAGAATCCACTTTCACACAAGCACCTTGTAGCAGAGGGCATCAAAGTCTTTACAAAAGTCTTTACAGCGTGTTTGGCCTGTGCAGGCTGTTCTGTGCACAGTCCGATCAAGAAAAATGGCAATGGCTTCTGATGTTTTCGCAGCCCTGACTAGAAGTTGAGCAAAGGCTGCTTTATTTTATTTTTATTAACTTTATTTAACAAGGCAAAACCCACTGAGATCACCAGATATATTTTACAAGGGAGCCCTGGGCCTGAGGGCAACCGAACCACAGGTATTAACTGTGTGACTTCAGTGAGTCACGCTTCTACTTTGTTGGTGCAAACATTTTGCTGAACACTAGATGGCAGCATTTACATGTGTATTATTTGGTTATGTGAGGAGTCAGAGTGAAGAGTCAGAGATTCTTTATTGTCATTCGCACCTCATGTGGTACATGTGGTGGAGCGAAATTATGTACACAGGGTCCCAGTTACATCCAACAATAAAATGTATAAGAAAAAACAGTAATAACATCTAAGATATGAACTAAGAAAAACATCAACTAAATATACACTAAGCACTCAACATAAAACATTGAGCATCAGCACAAACATGAACATGAGTCTGTGTGAGCGGATGTGCACGCATGAACACATCAACATTGAAACAGATCAGCAGCAACATGAAACAGATCAGCAGCAACATGATGTGATTTTCACAGTGATTATTCTGGTTAGAGATTCATGAGTCTAACAGCCTCAGGTTAGAAGCTGTTCCTCGGTCTAGTGGTTCTACACTTAATGCTCCTTAACCTCCTTCCTGAGGGGAGTGGGGCAAAAAGTGTGTGTGCTGGGTGAGTGAGGTCCTTCATGATGCAGGTGGCCCTCTTCCTGCATCTGGAGGTGTAAATGTCTGTGATGGTGGGGAGGCTGACTCCAACAGACTTCTGTGCAGCCTTCACCACTCTCTGCAAAGCTTTTCTTTCTGCACAGGATGCTCTCCACTGCACACCTATAGAAGGAAGTGAGGACTGAGTTTCCCAGACCAGCTCGTATCAGCCGCCTGAGGAAGTATCGTATTTTCTGGTGTATAAGTTGCTTCAGTCAAAAAAAGCATCATGAAGAGGAAAAAAACTAAGTCGCTTCAGCGTATAAGTCATATTTATTATGCACCACCGCTGAAACGTTGCGTTTATTATGCATTTATTTGATGGGCAAAACAGCTTCATTTAGCCTGGATGGAGCGGCGCCATCCATCCATCCATCCATCCATCCATCGTGGCTGGAGCTGCTAGCTCTCCAGCATTCCTCTGCCTGCACCAGCAGTGACGTGAGCATGCACGGGAGGACTCGCTGTTGCAGTTCTTAGAAATTTAAAGCGTCAGTCAAAAATTGCATTATGAATATTGAAAAAAAAAAAACGCATATAAGTCGCTTCGGTGTATAAATCACAGGACTGACAAATCTATGCAAAAAAATGACTTATACACCAGAAAATACGATAGTCTCTGATGAGCTTTCTTGAGCAGGCTGGTGGTGTTGTTGCTCCAGCTGAGGTTGTCATTCAGGTGCACACCCAAGTACTTGTGGCTGGAGACCACTTCTGTCACAGATCCTCCTATGTTCAGGGGTGGGGTGTAGGTGTGTTTGTTCCGCCTGAAGTCCACAATCATCTCCTTCGTCTTCTTCACATTGATGTGAAGGTTGTTCTTCCTGCACCAGCTCTCCTGATGTTCCACCTGCTGCCTGTAGCTGGGCTCATCATTGTTTGTGATGCATTCCACCACCGCTGTATCATCTGCAAACTTTACAATGTGACAGCCTGGATGGGTAAAAGAACAATCATGTGTGAGCAGAGTGAACAGGAGAGGGCTCAACACACAGCCCTGAGGGGAGCCAGTGCTAAGGGTTATGTGGAGGAGGATTTGTGGATCCTCAAATGTCCTTTCCTGCAGGGGTCCCGGCATTTATGGTTAAAAGTCACAATCAGTGCTCTTGCTTAAACCATGTCACAAAGTGCACAATTTTTTCTGTTATTTTGTTGCATTACAATTTATTTGATGAGCATGCTATTTAATTTTTATTATCTTTTTTTTTTTTTTTGCTGTTTTTGTATTTTACAGATAGGGGCTGCACAGTCTGACCTAATGAAGATAAATTTAAAAAACATAAAAGTTCTTACGTTTCTAAAATTTTGCATGTTATTTCACCCATTTCCTTTGAAGTTAAACACTGAGAATTGACTTTCAAAGTGACACAGTGTATATTTAAATCTGTACATTCTCAGTATATTTAGTGTGTTGTGAATGTCCTTATAGACTTTAACATGTAAACATTTTCTGGCTAATTTAATTAAATATTTTTTGCATGTCACTGAACATATAAATCTCTGGTAAACTTTAAGCTATAGCCGGTTGAAAAGGTCAGTATTTGCTCATGAAAACTCGCAGTAACAAACTCAACTAAACTTTGTGTATTTTGCAGCTAAAAGTTCAATTCTTCATTTCTTGGACTATAAAGCTGATAAAAACATCAATCGGTGCTTTCACTCCCACATCACTGCATATTTTCTTCCTCAGTCAAGAACCCAAGGTATCACATTTCAGGGTCCTGGAAACTCCTGCTGAATGTTTGGACAGAAGCACAGCACATCCATCAGCGTCTTGTTAAGGGAGGATGCAACAAAAAAAGGACATTTCAATTCATGTTGGATTTGTGTTTATGGTACACTTGTCATTCAATGCTGTTCACATTGGCCAACATGTCCAAGAACCTAATTTCAGGTTTATTAGACAAACTTGTGATAAAATAACTTTAAAACTTTCCCTTTTTTGTTCCAATGGGACACACAGGTTTACAGTTTTAGGGTTTACATGTAGAAAACTAAAACAATTACAAATAAAGAAATTATATCTTTAATGTTAAAATATTCAAATGCTATGTCAGACAGGGCAGCAGCTTGATGTATAGCTTCATGTTCTGTTTGACATCTTCTGCAGCTCGTATATCTCTGATATATGAGAAACACACACACCAGAGCTGTGCACAGTTTGTCTCATGCAGTTCTCATACACATGATCTCATTACACAGCTTCATGCATTGTACAATAATGACCGTCACTTGTCTACAATGGACTTACAACATGTGGCATTTTCCTGTTATAAAACATATATTTCACATTATAATTTGCAGCATCATAATGGTAAGTCTTGTTTTAATGACAGTTAACAGAGAATATATAAAGCCTATAAATATATATATATTCAGATGGATGGCGAAACATCTCAGCACAAAAAAGAAACCGTCCAGATGACCTGACTGAACATTGTTGGATTTTACAAGGCACTTAAATTATGTGAGTGCAAAAGTCACCTCAACGTCTTAATCTCATAAAAAGTCACTTATTTTTATATTTGTAGCATCTCAAACACAGCGAAGTCTCAAACTTAAACCCTCTCACTCTGCCATGCATTGCATCCACTGTTGTGAAGTCGTTCATTTTAATTTCCTCTTTCTTTTCTTTGTATTTTCTCTCTAGTTCTATTGTTTTCCTTCACGTCCCTTCCTGGTACCTTCTTCTTCTTCTTCTTTATGTAGATCGTTTGCATCTGATCTGTCAGGAGACAATAGAAAAAGCAGAATTTCAATTTAATATTTGTGAAGAAATTCAGCAACTGTGTTAATAACTTATATCACCGTGATACAAAAGTGATACAAAATTAGAGGAGTGGTGGCGCAGAGGTTAGAGAAGGTGGGCCTGTGATCGGAAGATAGTCGGTTCAAGCCCCGGTACCAACAACATCAAAAAATGTGGGTGGGGTAGGTGAAGCACCCACACCTGTCCCCACCCTCATTCGTCCCACTCTGGGCCCTTGAGCAAGGCCCTTAACCCCCACCATCTGCTCCTATGGGTGTCCTAGACAGCAGCTCTCTGCTCCACACAGAGGGCTGTGGTAGCTCGGTGGTCTGTCAGGAAGGACATCCGGCGTAAAAATAACTGCTAAGTCTTTGTGCGACTTAATTCGCTGTGGCAACCCCTGACACAGGGAGCAGCCAAAAGAAGAAGAAGAAGATCACAGTGATACAAAATGTTATCGCAGGGGCACTAAAATCATAAACCACAAATAATATATTAACTATAACATTACCCATAAAGCTTTTTGCAGGCTAGATTGTTGTGTGAAGTCAGTGTCTCACTGGGCTGTGAGTGCTGGTGATGAGTCCAAACGACATCCACAAGGATGTTTCCAAAATGACTGAAAACAGTTGCAGGGGCTTTTCATTTTCTTGCACGAGTTGCTGAGGCCTGCAGTCGTTCCACTTGGCATTTGAACATGTTCTTTAAATGCATTCAACAAAGTTTCTCTCATGAACATGTCTTGGAGCCTTCTCACTTTTGACACGGTTTTCTCCAACACATTTCTATACAAGTAGAGCCATAATTTGACACCTGGAAGCCGTCTTCTGTAGAAAAACTGGTCTAAAAACTATGCTGACACTTAAAATTTTAAAAGGTGTTGCAAATCTGCTTATGTTTATTTCAAAGGTATACAGTAGTCCCTCATTTATCACGTGAGATCTGTACCCTAAAGACCCGCGATAAGTGAAAAACCGTGAAGTAGGAATATATATATATATATCTGCTCTTGGCCATGCCCCCGTCTCCACACTCTGCAGGCTGAACATCTGATCAGCTGTTTAACTGCAGCAGTAAGGGCTGCACAAAGCTGCAGGAGGAAACTTTCTGCTCCTCTGGGCTGCACAAATGTGCAGCAGGTACTAAATAATTTAAAGTAATTTATTTTAAATGAAAATGTCATGCTGATCGTGTGGCTCATCCATCAATCAGCCAACTGTGTGTCATGTTGTACAATCTTATTTTTAAAAACCGCTATAAACGAACCGCAAAGTAGCGAGGGACTACTGTACTGCTAAATGGAGAGTGATGGCACAGAGGCTAGAGAAGGCGACCCTGTGATCGTAAGGTCACAGGTTTGAATCCCAAAACAAACATAGGTGGGTGAGATTGATTAAAGTGAAACATCTGTCTCCACCCTTATTTGCACCACTCTGGGCCCTTAAGGAAGCCAAAGTTGAACAAGTTAAGCTCCACACAGAGGGCTGTGGGAGCTCAGTGATTAGAGGGTGCATCAGGAAGGGCATCTGACATAAAAACAATTGCCTAGTCTTTGTTCAAGTTTGCTCGCTGTGGCCACCCCAGAAAAAGGGAGAAGCAGAAAGAAAGAAAAAAAAAAAACCACCATAAGTTTAAATGATACTGTCAGGGTGGCTGCTGATGTGGGTAACAAAAAAAAGTTCAAAACATGATCAGAAAGCTCACTGGACTCTTAGTTACAAACACTCAGAGTTCAGAGAGACTGCAACTTCAACTTTGTCTATTTTCTAGAAATTTTCTCGCAGCTTTGAGTGACCAACTAGTCTCCAACCATCAACGTCCTATGAGATATTACCTTCAAGCATGAGAACTTGAGAGGATTATGCACCTTCATGGTTAGAAAATGGATCCTTTAACAGAATCGTCTGGTCACCCCTGAAACCTATCCACTTTTTCTATCCCAAACTAAAACAATACTTGCTCTTCTTAGTCTTACTTACTTAGTCTTCTTGTGTCCATAAAAAATGCTCATTGCTGTTCTGATCCATATTTATGATAAAAGTTTGTAAAAATTGATAAGGGGTGAAATTACCTGGATTGTCATGGAATCCAGAAGTCCAGTTTGCTTTGATGGCCCAAGGCAATCATAGAGTTCCTGTTTGTGGCAGCAGGTTCCACTGGATCCAAGTCAGGTCTGTGAAACAAGTGTACAGTTCATACTGAACATTATTGTGGTTAACACACCACAAATTCTGACAGCTGCACTGCACAAACCACACCTATGCAAAAATTATTTTTGTTGAGAAGGAGAGCAGCACCTCCTGTAAACTACCAATTCTACTTTCATTAGAAGCATTGTCACAGGAAATACACAAACACCACACAAAAAGGCTCCTAATGAGTTCCAAAGCTCAGCATCTAACCATGGTGCTAGCCCTCATTAATAAAACTGACACCAATTAAAGATGATGATGGTGTTACACATCACACAGATGAGAGAGACAGCCCTTTTTAAACTTGCATCTCTTTTAAGCTCCATGTGGAAAACTTGGTAAAGAAACTGAAAGTTAAACTGGGTTTCTTTTTCAGAAACAGATCCTGTCTAACCCTGAATGCTAGGAAACTCCTTGTATCTGTGACTTTCCTTCCCTCCATTGATTACGGTGACATTATCTATATGAACGCTCCTGCAAGAACCTTGCAGATGTTGGATGCTGTCTATCATGGTGCACTAAGATTCATAACTGGCTGTGATTATCGTACCCACCACTGCACCCTGTATTCACTGGTTAACTGGACATCATTAACTTCACGCAGACTCTCTCACTGGTACATTTTCATCTTTAAATCACTTCTTGGTCTGCTGCCTTCATACATCTCCTCCTACATGTCTCTGCATGAGTGCAGCTACAGCGTGCGCTCTCAGGACATTATTACCTGCAGTGTTCCCTCAGTGAGGACTGAACTAGGCAAAAGGGTCTTCTCCTACTCCGCTCCTGTTTCCTGGAATATCTTACAATAAGATCTGAAGTTCTCAACCTTGACCTCTCCAAGTGGCTTTAAGAATCTGTTGGACTCCTGGCAGGGACCAATGCAGACATGTTCCTGTTTTTAGTTTTCTACATTTGCCTTAGAATCTAGCTGTTTTTTGTTACTTTTCTTTTTTTTTAGCCATCCTATTTGTTAAAAAAAATAAAATCTGTATGCCTTTTTATAAATGTTTATTGTTGTCGCTGTTGTCCATTGTTGTCATCATTCTTTGTTGAAATCAGGTCTCTCTTGTAAATGAGTCCTCAAGGCTCAATGGGATTTACCCGTCTAAATAAAGGTTGAATGAATGAAAAAAAAAGTCCTGAGAACAGATTATCAGCTTGCTATACAAGAATCATAAGAACTACTGTCTAGGAGTATAGTCTACTCTTTAACATCCCAGCAGCCTGGCCTTACTGCCGTGCATGGCCCAGCAGGAGGATGCTGTTCTGTCTAATGAATTCTGGACTAAAGCCATATCTCACCAAGTTTAAATCCATGAGGGAATTCTCCCACTCCTCCAAGCATACCTAAGGTCTGACTTTCCAACCCCTCCTCCTCCTCCAGCTCTCTGAAATACAGCCAAGCTCAGGTCAGGAGAGAGGGAGGAGCTGAAGTGTCAACAGTCCTCCACCTCCCATCAGATTCCTACACTGTACAAGCTCTCGAGTAAAGAAAGGCCACCGTTCATTCTTCCTGACACCCCATCATCTCACAGGCAAAATGAGGCTAATAGCTGCTTTTATCTCCATCTGCCAGGACCCTGCCAGTCTCCACTCTGTGCCCACAGGTCACTGAATGCCTTTCTTCCTCTCATGCTGGCTTCCATTCAGTGCAGTAAAGTGACTTGCATTCCTTTTTTCTTTTCTTTTCTTTTCTTCAACAATCAAGAGAAACAAGCATGCTGATTTCAGGGATTTTTAGCTGGTCACATTTCATCCTATAAATCTTATAAATCACACTCTAAATCCAAAGAACCCTGAAGAGTGGAATTCATCAGAAAGTTTGGAAACAAGTTATGAATGTAGATTCCTATTTTCAGGACATTGCACTTATTTGCCACATTGTTATTTATTGAAAGAGATTCATTCTAACTTGCTATGTTTCCTATTGTGTCATGAAGGATTCAGAAAACTCTGACTTGCATCCTTTTACACTACTGAATGGTGTTTCCACCTCAACAGCAAAGCTTAGACCTGGATACTCGAGGCTTTATCCTTGGATGTTTTACAAACAGTCCCAGATCACATGACAAGACATTTTAAAATGCAGATGAAAGGTTATAATGCTGAGATATAATTATTATGGTTTTTCAATATTTATTACAAAAAGCATCCATGATACCCATGGTGGAAGCATCATTTAGGCATGGTGTGATCTTGCATGTATTTGCAGCATGATGCAATCCAAGAAAGTGGTGCCATTGGGAAGCCTGGGGCATTTGTGGAAACAGTGGAGGAAATACATATTTGATTCCCTGTTCATTTTGTAAGTTTGCCCACTTATAACGAATGGAAGAGACTCATTTTTATAGTAGTTTCATTTTAGGAGGTACAAAATATCTGTTAAGATTCAAAAAGCACATTATTCAACAAAGAAAGGGCTGACCACCTAACACTTCATCTTTCATCAGTCAATAAAAAACTTGATGCAAAACACATTCTAGTTGAACCACCTTGATCCTGACACTGCACTTCTTCCACAGTCATCAAGAAAAAAAAACTTCTAAAAGAAACAGGGTACACAGACAGGTTTGTGACAGAACGTGTATGTACTTGTACTGCAGTATCCTCACCTGTACAGCTGTGGACAGGACATCTTCAGTGAGGTCAGTCCCAGTCTGCTCTGGTTCCTGAATTTAGTTTTCCTCATAATGTCTTTGACTCTGCTCCAGGTGTAGTTTTCACTGAGCTAAAGACAAAGACACACAACAGCTTAGTTAAATGTTTCTCTGTTCATATCGACCACACAAACATTTCTCTCAAGTCCTGTGAGTTGATCCATTTAGTTTGGATGTTTACTGGAATCACTTCCAACAGCCTTTTAGTTTATTTGCTACATGAACAGCTTCATGACATATTGTTGTGTATGATCCAGTCAGGAGCAGCACGGTGGCACAACTGGTAGAGCTGCTGCCTCTCAGCGAGAAGGTCCCTGGTTCAAATCCAGGTCCGGGGGCCATTCTGGGTGGAGTTTGCATGTTCTCTCTGTTCATACGTGGGTTTTCTCCAGGTACTCCAGTTTCCTCCCACAGACCAAAAACATGCATGTTAGGCTGATTGGTAACTCTAAATTATCTCTAGGTGTGAGTGAGAGAGTGAATGGTTGTTTGTCTCATTTGTCTCCATGTGTCCCTGTGATGGACTGGAGACCCACTCAGGGTGTACCCCGCCCCTCACACAGTGATTGTCGGACATGGGCACCGGCGACCTCCATGACCCAAAATGGAAGAAGTGGGTATAAGATAATGGAGAGATGGATGGATGGATGATCCAGTCAGCTCATTGTGAGTCTGTCCAGTTGTTTTGCTCCTCTGCTTCTTGCAAGCTGCATTTCAGAAAGGTAGATTCCAGAGTTTAAACTATTTTAAGGAATAGTGGAAACATTTTAGTCAGCAATAAAATGATGGGTCAGAGAAAAAATTGTTTTAATTTTGTTACATCCTGGCTTTCTTTTTTGGACGCAACATAAATGACATGACAAAAGTTTGTGTAAAAAATAATAATGTGACAATTTATTTTTGGCTGAGTTTACAAAATACTAAACAAAAATCACAGCAATGCTGGCATTCTTCACACAACTTAAATAAAACAAGAACACTTCCGGTTCTGAACAATGACTCAGCTACTTAAATCAAAATTGAAAATTCCAAGTCAATCAAATTACAGCAACCCAACTAACAATGGTCAAACTAGCAAGTGGCTCCACAGTGAGAATGAAATCTCCAACCAGACAAATGTGTCTTTGTTACACAGGCCACAGTCTTTCAGAACCAATAAGACAAAGCAAGACACAGTCTGAAACAATTTGTCTGCACCACCAACAGTTGGCATACTGCACACTAAGCACAGCAGCACTGATTGAAGGGCAGGGCTGACTTTTATGATCTTCTTCTTCCTTCTGGCCTCTTCACTGGCAGTCGCTGGTGGATGGGTGGTGCTGTCCAAACCTCCTTTGGTCAATCATCTTTGGACAGGTGAGTCTTGAAGGCTTGGTCAAAAGTTCACCAGTAGAGGGAGGCAACGAGCCAGCAGCAACCAGGCATTACAGAAAAAAAACTTCAAAACTGCAAAAGAAGAAAGGCAGTACAGGCCTGAGGCCGTAACAATTTCAAGATTTAAAAAATAGAAAAATAAATAATGGCCACTATATTGATTTAAAGTTGCCGTTAAAATCTGATGCATTTTGCTGGTTGGTCTTTGCTGCACCAGCACTGACAGAGACTACTCACTAAAAACTTGGAGCTGGGACAGAGATGTTTCTGGTCTTATCTGTACCATTTATGAATGGACCAAAGTGCTGAAGCCACTCCACTACTGTTGTACCTTTGAGTCCCAAGCAAGGTAAAATCAGAGCTTCAACAGTCGATATGTGAAAAGATAAACCAGCATCATCAAGATATCATGTGTTGAAGGAGTACGGTCTGAGCACCCACCTGACCATGACATTAAAAAACCCAAACAAGATTCATCAAATTCATTTTCAAGGACCTGTCAAATCATTATTTGAACTAGTGACACTTTTTCCAAGAAAATCAATAATGAAAAACTGATAGCAACATCTGTGAGTTTTTTCTCTTAGAGCAGAAGTAGAAATGAACAAAAATTTCATAGGAATATGAAAACATAGACCAGTCTTGGAAGGACTGGCTAAACTAATTCAGGAGTGTGATCACAAAGGACAAGGCCACTTCATTCAACCTTTATTTATACAGGTTAGTCTCATTGAACCTTTATTTATGCAGGTTAGTCTCATTGA